CCATACACTGAGTTTTTATGTCTGCCATCAAATTTCTAATTTCCAAGAGCTTTTTAAAAATCTCTGAAATATTCTTTTTATAACCTCCTGTTCTGGTTTCACAGATGAAAATCTTTCCAACTCTCTACAGATCTCAATGACAGCTTCTTTGAAGTGTTCCTCTATTCCCCGCACAGTTCTTTCCCCTCAGATTTCCTCTTAGTTTTTGTTTTTAAATCTCATGCTTGTTAAAAAAACAAAAACAAAACAAAACAAAAAAAAACTTTCCTCTAATGTCTAATGATCCCGGACTGATCACTTAACTGGAAGGTCTGCCTGCGTGGATGGGGCTTATACCCAGGAATAAATAGTTCCTTCTTTCCAAGAAAGACACCTAGAACAGTGTTCCGGAATCTAGAACAATGCCTGGCACACAGTAAGCTTCCCATTCCTATTTGCCAAGCAATCGAATGATGTAGGATCTTGCGAGGGCCCAGGTAGTAGCGAGCATTAGAAGCTCCCCAGGTGATTCGGGTGTGCGGCTAGCCCTGAGCACCTGTCCTATAACGGAATTATCGTGCTAAGCAGTTTTATCGGAGGACCCCCACCTTCGGCAGAAGGTCATTCCTCACAGAGGAAACTGACCAGGTGAGAGAAATCCCCATCTCTGTCACCAAGGGGACTTGGTTGGCTGTGGCATTCTCTGAGCCAGATTCGTGTAGACCAGAAGTCTAACATTTGGTATGGAGACTTTCTCTTGTTTCCCTGTTTTTAAAGTGGCGCCCCTTCCTTCAGCTACCTTTGATGTCCAAGTCCAGAGTTGCTCTGATTTCTCAGAGCAAACCGGTCGTGGAATGTAGGCAGTCCCACGGGAGCTAGGACTAAGGAGATAATGGGTGTCTGACAGCTTCAGGCACAGGCTCTTAGCCAGCCCTCCTGTCTTTGGCACCCCTGTCTGGTGGCCCCAATTCCAGAGACTCTCTGTCTCTGGACTCTGTCTCTCAGACTCTGCTTTCTCTAATCTGCTAAGTCAGTTACCACTGGACAGACCACTTCCCAGCTTCCAAAAATTTGTTGCAATCATTGCTTCTTCAGTTCTCTTTAAGAGTTTGGCAAATGCCTCCCCCCATGCTTAAAAAAAAAATTCCTTTACTCTCATTTCAATCCATGTTTACTGGGGAGTGAGTCTCTCTGCCTCATGCCCCAGCTTTGCCCTGGAACCCTCCTCTCAGATCTTTCTGTATTTACCCCCCCTCTACCACAGGTGCCCACTTGGAATAGAAATGCAAATAGGCCACATTATATGGTCATTTCAGCGATAATCCTTAAAAATGTCCAAGTTCTGGGGCACCTGGGTGGCTCAGTCGGTTAAGCAGCTGCCTTCAGCTCAGGTCATAATCTCAGGGTCCTGGGATTCAGCTCCACATTGGGCTCCCTGCTCAGCAGAGAGCCTGCTTCTCCCTCTCCCTCTGCTGCTCCCCCTGCTTGTGTTCTCTCTCTCTGTGTCAAATAAATAAATAAAAATATTTTTAAAAAATAAATAAAAATGCCCAAGTCCTGAATAGAGTGGTTATTGGGCATTTCTACTAGATATGTTAGTATCTTCTCCATCAGGTTAGTAACCATGCTTCTTTGTATGTGTGGAGTATCCAGCAGAAGGCATTTTTGAACGTGTTTGATGTAGCTTACCAGAATTCTGTGAGAATAACTGTATAGCATGTTAACTTTTTTGAAGTATATTCATGTTCATTTCCTTTTTTGGTCCTCACCGGAAGCCCATTGGGTGGTTTAGTGGCCATGTGGACTCGGGAGCATCCATTTTCTGAGATGATTAGCACATTCCGGTTGTGGTACCTCCGTTCCACACCCCAGAGGCAAATGGAGAAAAGAGTATGTGATCCAAGTCTGGGCAATGAGGTGTGAAGAAATGTCTCTCATGGAGTGTCTAGGGTAGGTTTGCTCATTATTGAGAAAAAGACATGAGCAAATGACCCCTTTGCTTCCTTGGTATGTTGCTGTGTAGAACTGCTGTAGGCATCTTGTCTCCAGCCTTAGGATGAAGTCAACACCCAGGAGAGAGCAGATCCCAGAGTGTCCTCAAGAAGCACCAGGCTCTCTCTTGCAGTTCCTGTCATGTGAGATGATTAATTTCCTCCTTGTTCAAGCCATTTTGTTGGTTTTGTTTTTGTTTTGTTTAATGTGGGGCTTGAACTCATGACCCTGGGGTCAAGACCTGAGCTGAGATCGAGTCAGACACTTAACTGACTGAGCCACCCAGGCGGCTCTAAGGCCATTTTGAATCAGGGTTTAGTATCATTTGCTGCCAGACTGAGAGAGATGGACATTTCTTTATGCATGGTCTCATTCCTAAGAACATTAAGTCAGATGGTGGGCTTACCTTCCTGAAGATCTAAGCTGCCTGATTCCTTATTCTGGCTCCAAGTAGGATTCCTCTCTACTCTATTTCCCAGGCAGATGAAATTAATGTTACTCTCTCTTCCAACTTCAAAAGAAGGAATAACTGTGGAGACATTTGGTGGGGGGAAAGAGGAGTCCTTGCTTGGGAGATTGTTAGCTGATCCCAGTGAGAGAACATCCTGGGACTGTCACAGAAGTGAAGACTGTTCTTGAAACAACAAGGTGATGAAGAAACCCCATGCATCCCACCCTGTGAAAAGCCAAGCACTAGTTTCCATTCACTCCTGTGGCTATGGAGACTGGCAAGTCTTGCCTGAACACTTGGTATTGTTGCCTCTGTCTTCCGTCCTTTGTCTTTTGGGCATCCCGGACTTTGGGAAGCTTTGAAGATGAAATAAACTCTGGAAGCGCTCGGTGGTGTCAGTAAGACTGAATGCAGGAAAAAGTAGACACTCCGTACCTGTTTGCCCCAATCTGGCCCCAGTGACAAAGGCACACTCTCTTTATTTTTACAAATAGGAAGCCTTCCTAATCTCTTCATTCCCGGTACAATGTTAGCCTAAAGAGAAGCCCTTAATTGCACTTAGCGTTATACCATCATTTTCCTGTTTGTATCATTTACTAAACCTAGACTGTAAGCCTGGGAATGTCCTATTGTAATATAGCTAAGATTTATTGAGCACTTACTACTTGCCTGGCACTATCATAAGCTTTACATGTATGAGCGAATCTGATCCTCACAATGCTCTTATGAAGAAGGTGCCATGAGCATCCCATTTACAAGAGAGATCATTGAGGCACACCGTATTTAGGGAAATTACTCAAGGTTGTCCAGCTTTTCAGTGGTGGAGCGGAGATTCAAATGTTGGCAGTCTGGTTCTATGTGCTATGTAACGTATATGCTTTATGCAATATATAATTCATCATTATAGCCCAAACACCCTTATGCCATCTGTCGTGTACCATAGGGGTTCAAATGTCACTGTGAATGAATAAACACGAGGCTTTTTCATGTCATTACAGACTCATTAATTTTAATGGCAGCATATTTCCCCAAGGACCCATAATTTGTGTAACCATTTCCCCAGGATTAGACATTATAGTAGTATGGGCTGGGATATCTGAGACTGGGACCGTCCTGAGAAATCTCAGATCTGTGATCATTAATTGGGAGGTGACCAGGACACCTTTTTTAACCTCCTCTCCCTCCCTCATGCATCGCTCTCCCCACCTTCTGCCACCCTTGAGAGCGATCCTAATCCTCATCCCATTCCAGATTCCCATTGCCATCAATTGAACTCTGCATAAGAGTAGATGGGGTTATAGAGGCTTTAAACACTTTGGAACCTTTTCTGAAGGTCCCTGTTAGAGGGTAAGCATTAGTTGGCAGGGGATTGCTATAAGAAATGTGGATCCCTGAAATGTTGCCTACCGAGTGCCATTTTCCAGGTGGTTTCTCATACCTGTCATTTTGCACTTTTGAATCCAGAGATAGTATATCTGACTCTCATTTGTTAAGACTTTTGGCTGAACTCTGGGATTCTTGTTTTAATTGCCGGCTGATAGAAAATATAAGTGGGGGGGAAATATAAATGGAAAAATGTGTTGGTTGGAGTTTGTTTTATCTTTGAAAATTGGGGGGCTGGTAGGGATAGAAGATTAAGGAAAACTTATGAGACAATTTTGTATGGTTAATGGGCTATCTTCTTTACAGTTTCACTTGTTAGGCCCTATGTAAACAAATACACCACCTATCAAACAATATGAGCACTATGTAGAGGTTATTTGCAGTTAAGGAAGTTTGTTTTATAAATTAAATTATATTATGTTTTATAAATTAAATTATACCTGAGATATGTTAGAAGAACTTGATGTTTAAATTTAGATTAATCCTGGGGCGCCTGGGTGGCTCAGTCGGTTAAGCATCTGCCTTTGGCTTAGGTCCTGATCTCCAGGTCCTGTGATAATCCAGCCCCACGGCAGTCTCCCTGCTCAGCGGGGAGTCTGCTTCTCCTTCTGCCTCTGTTCCTCCCCTCTGCTCATGCATGCTCACGCACACTCTCTCTCAAATTAATTAAAAAATCATTTAAATTTAGATTAATCCTATGGTGAAAACCTTTTGTACAGCAGATACTTTTTTTTGAAAAGTGAAAAATATACTTTCTCTAAATATATCTCAAGTGCGTATGCATGTGTGTAATTTCTAAGAGTGTGTATGTACACATGGGCGTTGTCTTTCCTCCCCTGATCCCCTAATTCATTCTCTGCCTTCCTCTGCACCAAGAGGCTTAGTGCTATGAACGCACAACATCTGGACTCCCTTGTCTTATTCCTAGTTGGCTTCAGCCAATGGAAGGCACAGGCAGGGGACTCAGAAGGCAGAAGAGAGTGTTGAGGTATTTATCCCCTTCATCACAGTCCCCTCGGCCTTGCAAAGATTCTGACTATGGCTCATCTGTTCTGAGCTCTTGATGGGCAGCTCACTTTCAAGGCTCCAGTTTGCACTGCTTCCTCTTGATGCCCTTCAGGCCTAAAGGTGGTAATGGTTTCCCAGCTAGCGAGTGGCTAGCCCCTGGATACTTCGTCCTGCCCACATCTCTCTAAGTAGCCCCTCCATAAAGTTCTTTCTGTTTTGTTTTTTTTTTAAAGATTTTATTTATTTATTTGACAGAGACAGCAAGAACAGGAACACAAGCAGGGGGAGTGGGAGAGGGAGAAGCAGGCTTCCCGCTGAGCAGGGAGCCCGATGTGGGACTCGATCCCAGGACTCTGGGATCATGACCTGAGCCGAAGGCAGCCGCTTAACAACTGAGCCACCCAGGCGCCCTAAAGCTCTTTCTCATTAAACCCTTTTGAGTATGCCTTCTGCTTCCTGCTGGTATCCTCATGATACAGGGCATGTTCATCTCTTTCTCATATAAAATCTTACCATGTCTGGCTCTAAAGTGCCTGTTACATTTACATTAGTATGTCTCACTGTGAACTGTAGCTTGTCCTGTCCAAGAGCTATCCTTTTATCCTTGTGTCTTTATCTTTTCTATTAGATCACTAGTCCTGGGGAGTGAGGCCGGGGTCTGAATTATTCTGCTTCTCCCTACAATGTCTAGTACAGAGGTCACAATAGGCAACTTGAAGTAAAATAACATATAAGAGTACATGTATGTATATGGTGTACACGTGGACGTAATATATCTGTGACTGCTTTTTTTTTAAATAACCTTTATTTGTATCCTTATCAGCATTGGTTCATTCATTTATGAATGAATAAGCAATTACCAAGTGCCAATTATAGGCAACACATTATGCTAGGTATTCACATGGTCTCCTCAGAATTCATAAAGAGTCATAAAGGGGTTTCATGAAGAACTGAAGTAGAATTTTCAAGCAGGAAGGAATCTGAGAGCATATCAAATCTGGTTTTATCATTTTCTGGTGACGCTCAGGCTGGGTGGGTCCGTGCTTTGTTCTGGAGCACGGGTAGTAGGGGTATAGATGACCAGAACTTGGTGCCCTGACTCTCTCCACGTGGGGTTCTTTCCCCAGCTCCCTCCTGTTACGTTGCCTGCTCATCAATTAGGTGCTTTCTGGCGAAAGGAACTTCCATAAGGTATCCTTTAGAAAGCCTCTCTGCTGCCCCTTATTTCTTCCCTCTGTGTTGCAAATGCAAACCAGATAGTCATGCTCTGAGCTCATAAAAGCGCCTAATAGGAGGCAGACAGTGGATTCTAACCCAGGCTTCAACGTCAGCCCCACGTGTAGACAGCTGGGGGAATATTTGGACCAACCCACAGCCACTCTAGGACATCTCCCTTCACCAGCTATAAACTCTGGAGCAACATTTCATGTGGGGGTATGAGGTGTTTGGGTTGGGTTGAGAGTGAGTTATACATTCTGCAGTTCCCTGAGCCACAGTCTCGGGCCTCATCTAGAGAAGATGTGATCTCCAAGTCAGGCCTGGCCTGCTCACAGAGCTGGTCCCTGGAGGGCCTTTGGTGATTGGCACTTTTCCTGTGATGATGGCCCTTTATGAGTCTACTTAGCACAAGGACCAGAGAAAGTCAAAAACCTTTGGCTCCATTATATTCACCTTAAAGTTCATTTAAGATGGACGAGAAAAAGCCTTTCCTTAACAGAAACAAAGCAGATTGGCCTAGGTCTGCATGTGATGAAAAGATGTTGTTACATTCTTTCACATATGCAGGTCCGCTGGGGGTGCTGACAAATTGTTAGTCCTCACTGGTAAGACTTGAGTTCAAGATTAGGCAAAGAGAAGGTATTATAGTGTCTTTACTGAATCCTGCTCTTAGGCTTTGTGCTGGCGGCTTTAATTAAAGGATCTCACACCCAGACAAGCTAAGTGTTATATGCCCATTTTGCAGATCTGGCCCCTAAGGCTCAGTAGGGCCGTGCCATACTCAGAATTACGTAGCTAGTGTAAAGTGATAGATCACATTCTCGGTTCTGACTCCCCATCTAAACCTTGTCCGTGAAGTAGTACCGTTCCAAACCCAGCTGAACCGCATGCGTGCTGAGGGATGCTGGGGAGAGTTAGCTTCTCTGCGTTGGTTTTCTCAACTATAAAGTGGGAATGAGGTGAGCACCCCCTCCCGTTAGTGCTGTTGGCTGAGGCACTGCGCGCGGTGTTCCTCCCTGTGCCGGCCACATAAGCCTTTAATGAAACTGAGCTCCTGGCCCCTGAATCTGGGTTTGCTGGCTTCTCTTTTCTGACATTAACAGCTGTCAGCTGTTAACTTCCCTGAGTCGTTTCCTTCGCCATAAAATGAGGCTTGGGATAAAGGTCAGTTTCTTCATGGCGAAAAACCTGAGAAGAACAAGGCAAACCCCCGTCTTTCGTGTTACAACTGTCAAGGTTCCAAAAGTGTGTGGTCCGTGTGTTACTTCAGGATGTAACCCACTCCTGTCTACTGTGAGGATGTAGGCTTGGTCAGCTGCCCTGGACATAGATGGTTTAGTCCAGCCAAGTTCCAGCCACACTTCCTCAGTTTCTACCACTCAGGTTTTCCTCTCTTTCATGACTCACGGTCCCTGTTGAAAAGAAAAACTCCATTTATTGTTTTCATTTACGTTACACACAATACTCTCTGAATACTACTTCACTTCTGGTCACCAAATGTTTGGGGGGGGTAGATTTTCTCCACACCAAACAATGCTAGGACACCAGCTAGCTGTCCTCCAATTCAGCCTAATTTGGACATTGTCTACCTGGAGAGACAGACCCCACAGGTTAAGGGCTCAAGTCCCACAGGACTGTCCCCCTCTCCTTCCCACAACGCATGCTCCAACTGAAAGTCCCAATTGTCATTTGTGCTTCTGACCAACTGACTATAAATAGGTTCCCATGACCCCTCCTGTTAGTTCTTAGTGTTAATTAATTGGGTTTGATGAATTTGCTAGAGCAGCTTACAAAACTCAGGGAAACCGTTTACTTAACCAGATTACTGGTTTATTATAAAAGGATGCAACCTAGGAACAGTCCTATGGAAGATACATGGAGAAGGTCATAGGGAAGGAAGCTCAGAAGCTGTCCAAACCCAATCCTTTTGGGTTTTTATGGAGGCTTTCTTACACAGACATGCTTGATTAAATCATTGGCCTTTGGTGATTGAAAAGCTCCAGCCCCTCACCCCTCCCTGGAGGTAGAGAAGTGGGACTGAAAGTTCCAACCATCTAATCCAAATCTGGGTCCCCTGGCAACCAGCCCCCATCCTTAAGGACTTTCCAGAAGTCACCACATTATCATAAACTGAGATGTGATTGAAAGGGGCTTTTTATGAGTAACAAAAGACACCAATTTCACGTTTATTGCTCTGGAGTTATTTCAGGAACTAAATACTATGAGGAAAGATGCCCGTATGGCTATTATATAGGGAATTACAAGGGTTCTAGAAGCTCTGTGCCAGGATGAGTGAACAAAGACCAAATGTTATTTCTTATAATTAATGACAATATCACAGTGTTGCCACATATTCATCATCATTATCATCTTCTTTTCTCCTCCCCCCGCCCAGCTGAAATTTAAGGGCTGCAATTAATACCTTTACAGCTTAGAGTGTTGTCCATTGTTCTTTTCCACTTCACCAAAATAGGTAATAGGCAGGGGCCCAGTAAAGCTCCTAAGGTATTTAGGCCCTTCCCTAGAATGTTCTGGAAAGTTCTCCCCATCTCTGGCTTTCTTTGTCATTGGTCAGGATTTTTAGCAGTGCTAGAGTGGAGCTCAGAGTCTTGCTGCTGGAGCATCTGAGGGTGGGCGGGGGGGTCTCACCTCCTTCAGAAGATAGTGATGGGATCTGGGAAGACTCATGACCACACAGCTGCCCAGGAGTCTTCCCATTGCAGATAGTGTCCTGCCACACTTATAATCACCACACCACAACTACATATACCGTTTTTAAAAGAAGAAAGACAAGACAGGCAGTAGCCCTCCCAGCCCAGCCTGTGTGGCAACCACCATCTGTCCTGTGGGGGAGGCACCTGATTCTGGATCCTCTCAACTCGGCATTGTGGATTCCCCTGGGATCCCCCAATTCTGCCCTGAGGAAGTCCACTTATGATTCTGTCCCATGTTGCCATGGCTGCCTGCTGAGGAGAAAAGGTAGATGTGAGGAGATGTGGGAAATGAAGTGACACGATTTACATCATATGCCCAAATGGAAGGCATGGTTCTCTCACCTCTCAAAGAGTTATGAACAGAGATGAGGGAGTTGCCTTAAATTGAAGTCTACAAATTTTCTCATGCTGTGGCAGAGTCTCACAATTATTTTATTTTGAATATCAAAGTATTATTTAGGGAACACACATTAGCCTGAAATGACCTTTGTCAATGCTGGTTTTAGATGCTTATAGAGGTCAACTGAGGAAATTGTATTTAAAAAAAAAAAAAGTTTAAAAAAGTCTAATAATATTTCTGGGCATCTGACCTCACAATAACAAGTGTTGGATTTCTTTGTGAACAAGACTTTTAAAGATCATTTAAAAATGCAACAAGAACCTGATCCAAATAACTGAAGTGAAGAGGAGAGTGAAAAACTCAGAACGTAGCCATGCTCACAGGAACAGGTGTAAAAACGCCAGTGCCACTGCAGACTTTGAAAAAATGTTTTTCTAAGGTGTGAGGACACCAGAAATATTTCTAAATTAGCACTAACCTGTATGATTACATAATATCTGCATGTATATTTATGCACATACAGTTATGTATATTTCAGTATTAATATCTTAAATAGCTTAAGATAAATATTTTAAGTGTTCCGTTTTTAAAATCTGAGATGAAATGTTTACATCTAATGATACCGATATTTTCACTTATATCATTTACATTTATCTAACCAAATCTCTCCCCCCGCCCCAATATTTTAACTGTCTTCTGATTGGGACGAAGAAGTAGAAGTAGATAGATAGTAAAGTAGAAGATCACTTATGTTTGAGTCACCTTTATCCAGCTGAGATGTCTTTTGTTCTCTAACTCTATAGGAAATGTATTTCGAGAAGTATTTTTATAATATATATTGTTTTGTCACCTTGATGTTCTGGAAAGTTCTGGAAAATGTATATCGAGAAGTATTTTTATAATATATATTGTTTTGTCACCTTGAATCATTGCTTCAATAATTCTGTTCTTGTTTTTACTTAAACTCTCTTGGTTTGCAAATGCCAAAACAAAATAAAACACAGTGAACAGAAATGCAGAAGATTAAAATGGCTCAAATGTTAATATTGTCTCTCAAATCAGTAAGGGATTTTAACTGGGAAAGGAGTACTAGCTTATATTTAGGGGTCCTTCTATCTAGACATGTGGCATTTGGAGGTGCATTGAGTAGATGGAGAGGAGTGCGGGCTGTTGTAGAAAGCTAAAGCTCGTGACACTGTTGACCGTGTGTGCAGAGCTGAGAGCCCGTCTGTAGAGAAGTAGTCTACAGAGCGCAATCAATCTTGGGCAGCCTGTCAGTTGGTGGTTTTGGTGAAACAAACAAGGAGAATTTCCCTCAGGAAAAATCACAGGCACAGGAAGAACAGACCTCACTCGTCTGGCCCTTTTTTATCCTCTACATGGGAGTATGGATGTGTCTCCTCCCCACAGAGTATCTGGCCAACAAGTAATCACAGGCCAGTAGGGAAATTTCTACTCAGAAAAAAACATATCTCCAACCAGAAGCCACCTTACAGAGAACTTTATCTTCTCATGAGATAGATTTTTCTAGAAAGTAAACACACGATGTGTTTAATTCCCATATGTCAGTGTTAACTGGTGTATCATAGTCCCATCCCTCCCCCAAGGCAGGCTTTTCTCCCCTTTGATATGTTACAGGAGTTGTGGATCATTTCAGTTGCTAAGAAACCATGGTTGCCCCAAAACTTGCAGCGTTGGTATTAGTCAAGTTCTTCAGAGAAACGGAATGGAAAGGAGTGATATATGTGTATGGGGGGGAGGGGAGTGTTATTTTAAGAAGTTGGCTCATGTGGTTGTAGGGACTGGCAAGTCTGAAATCTGTAGGGCAAGCCAACAGGATGGAAATTCAGGCAGGGTTTCCATGGTACAGTCTTGAGAATAATCCCTTCTCCTTTAGGAAACCTCAATTGGATGAGGCCCACCCGCCTTATGGAGAGTAATCTGTTTCATGAAAAGTTCACTCATTCAAATGTTGATCACATCCAAAAAAAAAAAAAAAAAACCCTCACAGCAACATCTAGACTGGTGTTGGACCAAACATCTGGGTACCATAGTTTAGCCACACTGACACATCTATTAACCATCACAGTTGGGACCGGTAACTGCATTTATGTCTGCCCTATTTATATACTGTATTTTGAAGTAAGAATAAGATTATAATCAAGAAAATACTCTGTGGGTTGATAGGGAAGTTTATAAAGAAAATCTAGATTTAACATTTGAGGTTTGAGAATTCTTTCTAAAAAAACTTAAAAGAGAACATGCAAAAATAATCTAGTGAGCATCCATCCATATTTCTGCCACTTAGATTTAACAGCTATTATTAGTATTTTGCCTTAGTTGCTTTTAGGGTTTTGCTTAACAAAACACTAGTCACAACTAAAGTTCCTTTTGCCCCTCCCCATATTTCCTTCCAGTTTAATACATATCCTTCCAGACTAAGTTTTAGGTATTTAAGTACTATAATTTATACATAAACATATGCATCTTAAAGTGTGTTTTAATGGACATAAATAGTATCATATTGCATCTTGCTTTTTATACTCTATTTTTTTGAGATCTGGCCAGGGAAATAGAGCCATTCATTTTAACTGCCTTTTCTGTTTTAAGAAAATTCTCAGGGCACTTCGGTTAAGTGGCTGATCCTTGATTTTGGCTCAGGTCATGATCTCATGGGTCATGAGATTGAGCTGCTCATCTGCACCCGGCTCTGCCATCAGTGGGGAGTCGGCTTGAAGATTTTCTTCCTCTGCCCCTCCCCCCACTCGTGCTCATATTCTCTCAAATAAATAAATAAATAAGAAAAATCTCTCCCTCTCCTATGTTTCTCATCCAGTAATTTTTCATATTTAGGTGGGTAGTTTTTTGGCTTTCATGTGGGAAGTATATGATTTGATCATAAAGTCTAAAGAGAAAAACAAATTTAAGATGGATTAAAAATACATTTCAAATGGGTTACAAGTCTAGCACAGTGATTAATATACCCCATCTCACATATATCCTACAGTCCCCAAAAATACGGCATATAGGTAGATAAGTTTCAGTGTTCTTTATTCCATTCTGGTACTTTGTCTATTCCTACATCAGTATCACATTGTCTTAATTACTCTGGTACTTTTTAAGTCTGTCCATCCTCTTTGTACTTTTTCAAAATTGTCATAGTTATTCTCAGCTCTATACTCTCCCATATAAATATTTTTCCAAGTTTCCTAAAAATTCTTGTTGAGATCTTATTAGAATTTTACTGAAATTATTGATTAATTGGGAAACACTTCTTTAAAATGTGTCTTTCTCCATAAACAAAGGTTTATCACTCCATTAATCCAAATCATCCTCTATATCCTTCAGTAAAGTTGTATAATTTCTTACTAATGTTGCTTTTATATTTATATCTCTCTGCTTTATAGTTTGTCTTACTACGGAAGCCAATTTTTTTTCTTCCTATATTACATTCTCTATTTGGTTACTGCTGGTTTAGGAATGCTATTGATCTTTGGATTTGGATTTTTGTTCTTAACAATCTTCCAGCATGTCCTATTAATTCTAATTGTTAAGAGATTGGCCTTGATAATTAAGTATAAACTGACTATAAGTCTTCCCTACCATTCTGAATTATAAATTTTATAATTACATTGTCTGCTACTGAGCATGATGAGTGCCAAGGACCTTGACTCTGGATTTGGGCTAGGTGTCAGGGGACATAAATGTGAAAAGAGATAGTGGGCCACCAGTTCCGGGTGGTGACCAGGTACAGCCTCAAATTCGATTTTTACAAAATTTTAATGTAGTTGGAGCTTTTCAGCCTGCTGAGTTCTGACGCCAGACTGCCCGCTTTCTTGTATTATCACATCCGAATGGTGTTGGAAGCTATCTGTGCCTCAGATTTCTTTAAAATGGAAGTAATAGTAGTATCTATCTACTCATGGTGGATGGCGAAGTGCCAATGAGTTATTGCATATACCTGGCCTAGGTTAAGCTTTTAATAAGTGTTAACTATTATTATTAGATATCCTTACTGAATTTTTTATCTTCAGGTATTCTGAAATCTTTCAGATGTGTAGCATAGGACTGGTATTAGTTTAGACTTAGTGCTTTATCAGAATGTTGACCTTTTCTCTTTCATAACTTGCTTTAAAATGCTTTGCTGCTGTGTTCACTGTAATCCTAGCACTTCCAGTAAGATCATGCCTCGTGTCATAATGCAGGTCTCTGGGCTCCTCCTCTATTCCCTGGAAATGCTCTCTGGCCCACGCCTCCTACAGTGGCCTTTTTTATTGGTCCCACATGACTAGCTCCATTCCTTCTCAGTGTCTCCATCACCCACCCTGGCTTCCTAGACTTTTGCTCTAAAGCACTGTTCTTCTCTTCACCTGACCCTCAGAAGAACACAGGCAGTCTGGAAACCCTGGATGGTATTGCTTGCTGTAAGGCTCCTGGGCCTCTAGTGGTCGAATGGCCTCAGCTTATTTTGGAATTTGGTAGAAAGTAGCGAACTCGGTGTTTAAATATCTCTTTTGTACACCCTGCTGTTGGCTGCCTGCCACCGTAGACGTGTGGCCCTGTGGAGTGATGGAGGTGGATACTAGTTGGACTGTGATGTTAACATGGTCATACACTGGGGGTGGCTACCCACTTACAGTCTAAGTCCTGTCAGAGCTGGAGTGCTCGGGTGGGTGTTAAGAGTTGAAATTGCTGCTCAAGCACGACCCACCATGTTGTTTTGCACTCTGTTTTTGTAGAGAACAAAGGCTGGGGTTGAGAGCAACTCTAGGCATTCTGAGAACTTTCCTCTGAGTCTCTTCTTAGCAGAAGATGAAGAGCATCCAGTGTTAAGAATAGTCAAATCAGTTTTAGCAAGAGGCCAACCTGGTTGATGTTTCATGCCTGCATTTTGGTTTTCTCCTTCTCTTCCAGCCTCTGCAACATTGACAGATTCAGAAATCTGTGAGGGCTGGGGATTTTATTTCTTCTCAAAGCAGATTTTAAATGTTTTTCTGCTCAGCACTTCTCTTTATCCTCAGTATCTTTGTTAAATATAGAAAATCTTGGGTTTTTTTCTGAGATGAAAAGAAGGGTTCCTTCAGTGACCAAGCTGATGTGGGTGTGATTCAGTCCCTAGCCCGCTAAAGGTGGGCTTCTGAGACTACTCACACTCTTTCCAGCAACATCTGACTTTAAAAGACTAGAGTAAGGTGGGCATTTTTATTTATGATTTGTACTAAAATCCATGAAGGTTTGTCCTGCTCTGGCCAATTTGAAGACACGCTTGTTCCATTATGATTTCCATCTTTTAGGATGCATCAAAACTCTGCAACACTCTACAGTGGCCCATGTCTTGGCATTCCACTCTACGATGCATTTCATCACTGCTTCAGTAACCACTTCTGTGAATGGGTAGGAGGCAAACATTTTCAAAATTCTATGAACAGAATGTTGGTTCTTTTTTGCTTTTCCAGAATGGCTTTAGCCAGTATTCTCATTGGCAGAGATCAGAAGTTGATCTGTAGAAACCCTATTTTGATTGGCTATAGGGCATTTATAACCCCGTAGCTAAATACCAATGTATGAAATGGTTATTGTTCTCTTGAGGGGTGGGCCTGGACCAGAATACACCCTTTGTGATTGCCTGGGAAGCAGATGGGTGTAAATGTCCCTACAGCCAAGTCAAGTCAACAGGAACTCCTATAACCTCAGACACAAAGATAGAAAGGTAGCTCTCTGGCTATGGTTTGGTGTTTTTTGTTTTTGTTTTTGTTTTCTTCTGGCTGTGGCCTGGGATTGAGATTTCTAATCAGCTGGTTGGCATTTAACTGAAGGCTCTCCGTCAATCTTCCCCTCTGTGGTCTCTCTAGGAGTTCTAATACCTACATCTAATATTTGCCATCACGATTGGATTTGACTTGCTTTGTAAATTAGGGTTATTTTCTCAATAATGTATTTTTAATAATGCTGGCTCATCTCATCCCATTTTCTCATATTCAGTAGTGTTTAGTCTACCCTCTCCCCTCATTCTGGGATGCGAAAACCCATCCTAAAGGTTGACAGCTCTGCAGACCTGATAACTGGTAAAACAAACAACAATGATTCTGTGTGTGTGGTATTGATAAGCAACTTACATTTGTTGACACTGAACCGGAAAACTTAAGAGGTTCAGGCCCTATTACTGTGTCCACTTTACAGATGAGGAACCTGAGACTTGGGGTATACAATTGCTTAACCTCCTCAAGTTCCCACAGTCAGTAATTAGCACTCCAGCAGGTGAGAGAAAGACCTCAGAGTGGAAGAGCGGACTCCATCAGCACGAGGTTTGGGAAAGGGGCCTTCAAGGGCTAAATGTCCTGAAAAACAGGCATACCAACCAGAAGCCCAAAGAATTCGATAAATAGGGAGGAGGAGGAGCATGGTCATATGTTCTCAGTAGTACTGCTCTCAATGATTCCACCTGGGTTTTCGTGACCCCAATAGTCCTTCTTACATCTCACTTTGTAGGCCACCTGCTAATGGATGGCTGTTCTAGCAGAGGTTACATTGATAAATGTGGTTGAAATTTCTTACAAGAGCAAATTGGATCACTTTCTGTTTGTTGTTAGCTATAGTGAATGGCTTTGGAGGTAAATATCTACTGAGACCTATAATTTGACAGGCCTGGTTCTGGGTCTTAGAGATCCAGGAGAGAAGGACAGACAGGTTTCCTTGCTCTCATTTAGCTTATATTCCAGTGGGGAGAAGCAGGAAGTTGACATGGGAGTACACAACTAGAAAGCAATGATAAATGTGTTTTTAAGTTGAGTTTCTGAGTGAAATTATCTCTATTTTATTAGCATCTTATCTTGTTTTTCTTTGCTGGGAGAAAAGTACATGACTCAGATGCCAAATAGCTGAGTTTTGTTGTCAGATCAAATTGGATGAATCTAGACTCTATACTTTAAAGACTGCACTGGGTTCATAGGACCAGAATGGACACCTTAGTTTGGTCTTATTTCTGTTAGGAGGCCTGGAGCTCCTCCCTCTAGCAGCCCTTATCCTGCATTTCTTCATTTGTTATGTCAGGGGGTTGGACTGAATCTGTGATTTCCATCTCTGCTCTTGGAAGCTCTGAGGAGTCTCTCAAAATCAGGGTCGGGGAGTTGGCGGGACCTTAAGAAGCTGGTTCATCCTCAGCCAGAGCAGTTTTGCTATTGCTTATCCGTTACTGGGGGTTCCCCAATTTCTGGGTTGGAGAAAGGAATCTATTGCTGAAAAGAATCATTTGGAAGCCACTGTATTGTGCATTGGAAACCACCCTGTTTGTGGGAAAACTCCATGAGCAAAGTTTTAAAAAGACTGAGAGAGATGTGTAAAACATATAGAGTAGATGATGGATTGTCAGAATATGTAAAAACCTATAAATTAGGGGAAGAAAGCAAATGAACCAAAAGAACATGGGCAGAGAAATGGCAAATCACAGAAGAGAAAATGGAGATGACCAATAAACATAAGACAAAATGCTTAATCTCTCAGGTAATCATGGAAATGCAATTTAAAGCAGTGGGATGTTTTTTCTAATTCTGCCCACCATCCAGTCTGGATCATGTCAGGCTTAAGGTGAGGCTTAGGCAAAAAGTAAGAGGACGATAGAATCAGGTGTGGGTAAGTTAGGGAAATGAGCGTTCCCATTCCACCAGTGGGAGTAAGCCTGCACAGGTATCAAAATTGCATATATGCTTTGATCCAGTGATTTCACATCTAGAGTTGTATTCTAGCAAAATACTTGCATCTGGACATATATTCACTCCAGAACTCCTTGAAAGGCGGGGATGTGGGGGAATGAAGATTAAACATTAGTGTAAGAATGAATAAATAAAATACAGTAAGTCCACATTGTACAGTACTATGTAGCAGTTTCAGAGAATGAAATATGGGTCTCTTTGTGTAGTTAGAACAAGCTCTAAAACATCATTAAATGGAGAGAAAAGCACAGTGTAGAAGGGTAAGTACAATATGTAGCCAATTCAGTGAAGCAATACATTTTTTCCCTATCTGCATATAACAGAATGTAAGTGCTGCATCCAAAAGGTCTAGATGAAAAACAGAAAACAGTGGTTATTTGGGGGAAGGAGAGTGGAATTAAGGAGGAAATTAAGGCTTAGCTATAGAGTTTGGGAGAAATATAGAAAGAAGGTATCCATACAGACCTTAAGCGAGTAACACGTTTGTTCAAAGCCTGCGCTGTACTAGAGGAACCACCGGTGGAGGCTCAGAGCTTTGGTTTGGTTTGGTTTGCCCTGCCCTTGCCCGTTGTTGATGTGCCTCCAGTGGGCCTCTTCCTTCCCTGCCACTCCTTCTTCCTCCCAGCTTGCTGAGCCTGTTGCCCCGACGCCCTTCCTCTCTCCTCCCGCGTTGAGGGTCTGCCAGCTGAAGAAATTCCTCCCTTTGCCCTTTCACCCTTCTAAGAACTGTGGACTGGCAGAGGACCAGCAAACTCCCTGCAGGAAACTGCTTCTGTGAAGGATGCTGTGAAGCATGGGCCCTCAGCCATGTCCCGGGACCTTTGCCACGTCCCTGGCCCTCCCACCCAGGGTGGAATTCAATTCTTGCATTTAAGACCAAGTGACTCCACACGCCAAGCCCAGAAGTATGAATGCTTCAAGTAGGATCTGTCAAAGTCTTAGAATGTCTACTGGGTGCAAGACTTTGTGCCAGGCTGTAGGCTTATGAGTTCTTGGATGGGCATATCCTTTCTGTGCCTGGTTGCTAAAATTTTATGATATGAGCTGGACTCATTCTTACTTTGGATTGCTGTCTATCGACTACTCTGATATGTTCTGGAAATCCCACAAGCCTGTTGGAGAGTGGATGCTTTAAGTGTGGACTTAGTAGTTTCCAAATACTCCAAAACACAGTTACATCCACGCACACAATATATGGGCAGTGCAGAGGCAGTGACAGAGTAAGAATTGTATTAAGAAAATGACTCTTGCCTCAGAAATGCTTGGAGTGAATTCCATGCCCTGGAGACTCTCAGGGGAGGGACTTGGGGTGTTGGTGGAAGGGATCACATTATGAATCTGTGAGCAGTTTTCACTCATCCACACACTGTATTTTGTTTCATTTTGCTTTTTGAGATTGAGAAGCAGACCTGAGGTTGGAGGAGGTTATCGAGACAGCAGCTTTTCTGATAGGAACTGGGTTTTTTGGTTGTTGGTGGTGGTGCTGGTGGTGGTTGGTTTTGTTTTTTGGCTTTTGGGGGTTTATTATTTTTTATTTAAATTTTGTTAGTTAACATGCAGTGCAATATGGGTTTCTGGAGTAGAATTCAGTGATTCATCACTTACATACAACACCCACTGCTCCTCACAAGTGCCCTCTCTAATACCCTTCACCCATCTAGCTCATCCCCAACCCACCTCCTTCCATCAACCCTCAGTTTGTTCTCTGTCCTAAAGAGTCACCTATGGCTTATTTCCCTCTCTCCTTTTTTTCTTTCCCCCCTCCCCTCCCAATAGGAACTGTTTTAACAGCAGAAAAGGCTCAGAGCAGAAAAGCTCTGAGCCTCCACCATCCCTGAGATCCGTGAGTCTGCTTCCCTTGTCTCGCTGTGCTTATCCTCAGTTACCCATTGTTCTTGTGGAACAATGGGACTGACTTTTCCATAGAAGTCTGTCAGAATTGAGTATAGCTACACAGAGAACTGTCCATTAGGAGGACGAGGTCGAGATTACCACCGGCACATATGCAGAGGGTCGCACACGTGCACGCACACTCTGAGAACTCTTGCTTCTCTTCGGTTTCAGCCGTCGGCTTTATATGTTTTTTTAAAGCTTTTTCTAAAGGAAAAACAAAATATATTGACCTACTGGGGGCCACACATAGCTCTGAAAGGCTGCTTAGCTAAGGGCAGTGAGAGTGGGGTTAACCTCAAACACAGGCTGCTGTTTGGGGGCACATCAGAGGGAAACAAGTCTGTTTTCCAAGGTGGCTTGGTACAGCTGTGTCGGCCCATTTAGAGCACTGGGATTTGGAAGGAGCGGCCAATGCCCACGGAAGTTTTCCTAAACAAGAGAATAAGGTAGGGTTGCTCAAGACCCAAATACTAGGGTTTTTGAGGTAGTGGTCTCCTTGTGGGTTTAACTGTTAACTTGCTGGTTTATCCTCTTCAAGGCATGTTAAGTTATTTTGGAGGGCGAGGGGCGAGTGTTTCTCCAAGTATTTCTATAGCAGTTGGCACACAGTGTAGTCAGTAACCAACTGTTGATGACAAAGCTTTTCTTAACACTAAATCATTTACGGGGAGAAGTCAATAGCTTAACTGATTTGAATTGCCTGCTACATGGAAATCTTTATGGGACACAGGACCTAGGACCCCACCATTTGGGAGAGCAGTCCCTCTAGATGATGGATTAACAAATATTGGGCAGAGCAGAGATGTCCAGAGTCAAGAAACTCTAATGCATAGAGCTGGGAAAAACTCTATAGACCAACCTCTCTCTGCTTCTTAGTGCCTCCTCCCCATGTCCCCCAATCACACACATTCTGTGAATTGTTCTATTGTTTGTCTTTGAAAAGATTGATTTATACATTTGTACAGAAAATCCCAGAGCCTTTTCCTCTTAATGCTATAAAGTTGCCATTTAATGAGGCATTGGGATGGCCACCCAGCCACTTGAAATCCGAAGTGTCACACTGAAAGATTGTTACCAACAAGTATTTACATTGGAGCCGTGGTTTTACTTTCCTTGGGCAATTGATTAATTTACTGCAAGAGCCAATAAATCCTTGGCCAATGAAGAACAGATTGGAGGGGAGGAGCTTCTGTTTCAGGCCATTTTCTTTAGGAATGCTTTTAACACTTGGCCCTGGGCAGGATTAATAAAATCCTTTGATTTTATTAAATAGCTGGAATTGGCCATTTTGGGATGCTGTAAGGAAAGTCCTGTCTGGTGGGAACGAAGTGACTGGGTCTCTTTGATCCCTGGACTTGCACAAACCTAACACTCCTGTTGAGAGAATGTTTCAAAATGCATTTTCTTAAAAGTAGGACCGTGTAAATAATAGATTAGGTCTGAAAGAGTGATCTGAGTATAAGAGGCAGGGGAGCCGTGGGAGAAAAGTCCCCCACTGGCCCATGCCTGTTTTATGTGCTGGAAAGAAAAACTCAGCTGCTTTCTTTGGAAAAGAGCCTAGTTGTGGCCCTACTGTGTCAATATAAAGGGCTTCTCTCTTTGTAGGCATTAAAATACACGTGAACCATTGCCTTCCTGAGCATGTGACAGGGCTGGAGCGTTCTTTTCTATATTTTGTTTTGGTTTAGTTTGGGTTTTGGAGAGAAATTCAAAAGAGGCTCTAGAGCAGTGCTACCCAATAGAATTTTCCAGATGATGACAGGGTTCTCTGTCTTTGGTGGCTAGTATGATAGCCACTAGCCGCAGGTGGCTATTGAACCTTTGGAATGTGTGACCAAAGTATTGAATTTTTTATTTTAACTAGTGTAAGTTTAAATAGCCACATGAGATGAGTGGGTATCATTGGGTAGTACCGTTCTGGAGGGCTTCCATGCTTTTTCTGTAAGAACTCTGAGTTAATCCCTTTTGACTTTCACAGCCTACTTGAAAAGGATGGGGTTCTTTGGTAGGTAGCCTATTCCCAGTAGGGAAGAATGAAGAAACTGGGACCCAGAGGAGCCAAAGGACGTGTCACATCATTGACTAATGAAACAGCAGAGCTGGGACTAGGGCCAGGGCATCTCTGCCTTGGGTCCCACCTCTAACAGCCCCTCCGAGCCCAGCTTTAGATGTTAATTATAAGTACGACTTAGCAGGGGACGCCAACCACAAAGGGAAATCTTGCTGAACATCTGGACTCTTGGCTGTGGGGTGTGTATTTAATCTTCTTCTTTAAAATCAAACAGGCTTAATGAGCAGCGGGATTTGGGAAATCCCTCTGGGCCCTTAAATCCAAGGAGGAGTTTCTCTGGAACCAGAGGAAATGGGCCAGACAGGTGAAGCACTCCCCTCCCCTCCGGCCCCCTTTACGCGGCCCTGTCTGTGATGATTACAAGTGGGAAAGGACGCATGGAGACTTGTGGTTCTAGTTTCCTATCCTTAGTGCGCTGTAAGACCCCAGGACAAATGGCATACACTTGGCTAATCCTGATTTTATCAATGCTTCTGGCAACCGTATTAACATGCCCCTTGCTACCATATAAACCAGAACTTTAAACGCCAAGTCTGTTAATTGGCTCTAGCTCCATCCTCACCTTCTCTGGTTCCTGCTACTCCTCCATCCTTGAGGATGATAAGAAAAGTTCAGGGATTTTTCCATTTCGAAGGGGCACCTTTGAGAGAGGGAGTGGTTTCCTAGGCAGTTTTTGAGCCTTGGAGCAGTGACATCTGGGTTGGAACAGGAACACTTACTTGTCAATATCACTGATTCTCAGTAGTTCTGTTGTGGATTTCATATCAGTGTGGATTTTCCCACTGCCCCCAGCTAGCTGTTACCAGACTCACCCAGCATCCACACCGTGCCAGGGTGCTCAGAGAAAGCAAAGTCCTTTTACTGTTATCAAAGGATAGACTGGATAATTAGAAGGGAAATCTGCTCTGACAAATCAAAGCTACCCAGCGTGCTTTCTAATTCTTAAACTAACTTCTGGATAACCTGCTTCTCACTCAGTCTACGCATCTGCCCAACCACCAACCTACCAGGCAATCCACCTACAGTAACTGCAGCAGATAATGGGGAAAAAACTTTAAAAACAAACAAACAAAAATGAACAAACAAACCCCATAAAAACCAACAGCCAACATTCATCTACTGTCTCTTGATAGGGTGGTGACAGGATTTGTCATACAAACTGGTGCACTTCTGTGAGTGCAAGGGGGCACTCATAACTACACGGGGATAACCAGTTTAAACCAGGATGCCCCAAGGAAAATAGGACAGATGCAGTATCTGCTGTGTGCCAGGTCCTGTGCTTGAGTTGGGGTGCACACTGGTAATGAAGACCTAGTTTCTTCTCGCAAGGAACTCATAGTCTGGCAGGGAGACAGGGACATAAACAAATGTAACACTGTGGCATTGAATTGAATTGAATTGAAACAGAGGTATGCATAAGTTATTGGGGTGGGAGGAGGCAATGGAGAGGGCAAGGGAGGGTTTTCTAGAAGGGAAGTAGGGACCAATTAACTATTGAATTTGCATCCATTGACCAGGAGGGATCTTGAGACTCACCCATTTTGGGGTTATTAGTGTAGGCCTTAACTGACTCACGTATTGGTAAAGACTGTATATTCCAAGAGTCATCCTTGAGATCATCCTAT